TGAAGCACAACATTCAGACATGTCTTCTCTTGCTGCAACTCAAGCGCATCGTAGTAAATCAATCTTTGGTCCTCACAAATCTTTCAACTTGAGCCCTCGTTTAAAAGGACCATTTTTTATAGGAGGAAAAAGCAATGGATGTGAGGACGGAATCGACTTTATACACACACATATTTGTTTCAGTCCCTCCATCATTTGTAACATAAGGGAAAATTTGAATGGTAGCCCGATCACCCCCCTCTCTTTAATTGCTTCCATATTCCTTGGCCTGAATGACGTAATACCATTTATTTGGCAAAATGCTGAGAGGGAAGGGCAGCCAGCACAGCCATTATGTGTGATTAGCACTGTATGCAGCTCTGATTTGTGAATTGTCTGATTGGTGACATGGCCTGTGGGAAAAGAGATTTTTTTCTTACCAATTTAAGAATACCCAACTGGAAACTATGTGCCACCATCAATCATTCATAACCCGCTACTGAAAGTGAAACAGGTGCTGAGTTATTGAGGGCTCCACCCATTTTAAAACACAAATCCTCAGAAATATATCTTGGCTGAAATGTTCTGTTGATGTTGAACAGCCATCAGTTTCCCATCGAATAATATCATTCATTTAAAACTGACATTTCTACAGTGAAACATACAGTATATAACTAATTAAGCATTGTATGGTAATTTAAGGTAACTCCATTTAAATTACAATAACATTACAATAGAGATAATTTATCACAAATTGGGTCTTGCTTTGCCGTACATGTTCTATTGTAAAAAAAACGCATGGACATATTAAATCGTTCAAATGTGTTTCTATCAACTTAAACTTAAAGTTGGTGCAACAAATAAAAAGCAATCAAACGTAACTGTTTCTTTCAAACATCTGTTATAATAACATTGAGAGAGATCTTAATACAATGGGGCAACAAAACAATATAGGATTGACAGACAGGTTGTAAGTTAGTTATGTATATTATTATCATAACAAAAAAAAGATGCCAAAAATGATAAAAACAAGACCAGAAAAAATGTACTTCTATATAATAACTTCGAAATGTCTTTTAGAACTCTAGAAACACCTTAGTAATTATCAGGGGAACGTTTTTATGCAATACATTGGAACTATTATAGGAGTTGTTGCATCTGACCCAGAGACCCCCCCCAGGCCACAGGTTCTCTGCATCATACCTGCAGCCTGACGCCAGACACATTTAATAACTAATAGAGCTGGAGCGGACTCAAGCCTCGGCCGGGCACTTAAATCCACAGTGATGGAGCCAAGAGGGTAAGCAGCCTTTTTCTCCTTACTAACCTGTTTCATCCAAACCCCCTATTCACAGCCGTACAGTCCTATATGTGTAAATACTCTTGAAATGCACTATAAAGCGTGTACAAATAGCTTCAGGACTGTTCTGGCATCAAAGTCTGTCTTAGGTGTATTTTGCTCCAATGACAACAGCACAACTAAAAAGTGGGGACTTTTTCAAGAAGCACTGAGAATCGGATCAGTCCAACGACATTTGGAGGACAGTGAAAATACTTCTATTTTATATATGTTACTTATTCGGTCTATCTATCAAATTCTCAAACCAAAATTGGTGATGGTTGGAACAGTGAGAAGACTTACAATTGTTTTATTTTGTTTACGTCTAGTTTAAAGGACATTTTCTTCTCGATGATCAGCGAGGTAAAATGACTGTCTCTGCTAGATGAGCATTGTATGTTTTATATGTTATTTCATTGTACTAATTGGCTAACTCGCTGTTGATTTCTCTTATTTGTTATATTACTTCAACACATGTCACATATTGTGCTAGAAATGGGCCAGAAATGAGCATGTCCATCCGGGTGTGTTTCCATCACTGTCAATCGGAGCTGAAGCTATAAATCCTGTCACTACGGTGGAGCCATTTGTCCCGGTAATGGATGCCGATTGTTACCTTTTTAACTGAAGAAAAAAAGCCAGATGTGAGTGGGTGTATGTTTTTTTTTTCGTCCTGTGGAAAGCTTTTTACAAGACTATCTGAACGTGTAAACTGGCTGCTTACCAACCCTCATTACTGTTCTGTTCTCAGAGTTACACTATTAAAACGAAACAAATGTAGTATGTATGTTGGTGAGGGGAGATTAATCTTTATTTGAAGAGAAATAGCTGGAGGGCCATTACAAGGAGCAAGTAGGTGTGAAAGGGTTAAAGCAATTAGCGCACATCTCTGTCACTTCCTGCTGGGGAGCACATTTCAGAGTCTCTGCCAGGGCTTTCTCCGGCTGCCCCTCTCATGGCCCTGCTGTGGGCTTCACATTTCCAACTCTTTCTAAATAGTCAAGTCCTAATATTTACTTCTCGCTTTGGAGCCCAGGCAGAGCAGTGGCTGGGCGGCGCAGAGTGGAGGTGGCAGGAACTGATGCCCTCATTAATTCTGCAGAGGGGAAACAAACATTTGTCCTTTCAGGCCCTTGTGTGACTTTGTGGAGGGGCGCAGCTGCAGACTGACAGACTCTTGTTTGTCGGGTTTGTATTATGAAGCTGTGTGTGCATTCATGAGTGTGTGTGAGTGACCCGAGCTTGTCTGCCAACCAACAAAAGAAAACTCCTGCAGCTAGTTTTCAGAGCAACACAAGAGATGGTATTGTTGTGGTTCAAACATATTCTGCGTACTGTCATGCATGTGAAGGTAGGCTATTAGCTATTTCTTTCATTATGGAATCACCAAGCTGAGTGACACTATTGTAGTGTTTAGTCTTGTATTGTCATCCTGTTGTTTGGAAAGCTGTGTGACTCCCAAGGAACCTTTTGGAGGATAATAAGATTATATAAAATATAATTTCCTCAACGCGGTGAAATGGAGTGCCTTTAATGTTTATCCTACAAGAGTGAATGATTAAGGAGGCTGTTTTTTTCTCTGTCAGCATCAAAGTCTGCTGTGTGGAACGCTTCACTCCGCACTAGAGGTGTGTGCAGTCTAGTTTGTTTGTCATAAATGGTGTACAGTTATGCAAAGTCTTGTGTTTATTATTACAGTTTGCCCTCCTTCCTCCCATTGGACCGTTTACAATTGACCGATTGAGATAAAGATGTGGGACCGATTCTTTCCTTGTTTTCTTTTCCTCTGTCTCCCTCTCTTCTGTAATGGAACCACACTATTGCCTGGAAGGTTGGATCCCAGTGCATTCCTTCACAAATCTACTCCCTGAAGAATTTGCTTCACAATCTTCATTCCACATTGCACCACAATTCACCGCTGTGCCGGTCCAGCAGCCCTGATCACAGATTCCAAAGGCAGACACTTGGCTTGTAACTAAACATCCTGGGTGACAGCTTATTATGTCATGACGACAACGCTGGAATCAGCAGCTCTATTTTCAAGAGAAGCCAAATTATACATTTCAATTGTTTCATATTAAACTGAATCAGTTAAACATATTATAAATGTCACATGAATATGTATAAGTTACGTTAAAGATGTTCCATATTACTTTCAGGATACGAAAAAACTCTTTTCAAGGACAGGGTTAAAGAAGAAGAAGCAACTTCTTGAAAGTTACATTATTTAGAAATGAATGCAAGAATCAAGCAAAAAGGTTGTCGAAAGGATGTGAGCTTCATGTTTTTGACATCCCATAAAAGCGCACTGCTAATTTTCCCTTTTAAAGGGGTTTTCTTTCTTTTTGGTTGCCCTAATCTGAAAGGAAATGAGATCCAAAGCTCTCCATCAGTGGGCTTCTGGCCATGTATCTTAACCGAGAGTCAAGGCAGAACACCCTTCACTCCAAGTGCGTTTGACAGAAAGGAATACAGAGCACTTCACAGTGATGGACGGCCTCTTCAGCACAGGGGCCTTCACACTTCTCCTCAGCCTTCTAACTGGGGATTAGCACTACAGCCACGGCTACTGGCCCCAAATTCACTCCCCAATTCCTCCGCTAACCTCAGTGCTTCCCTACCACGATCCTGCAACCATCGAACCTCAAACCCCCCCCCACACTCCGACCCAATGTCGGCCTCCAGCATTCCTGGCTGCGTCACATGGTTCGCTAGCTCGGCCGGTGCTGCCCCAGGCCGAGAGATCCGAGTACCACAGGGTGCCAACATTCCATCCGGACGGGCGTTTTGTTGGGGGGATTTCCTGTGGGCTTTAATGCCAGCGTGGAACAATTACTGCTGCTCGACAATCACTGGCTGTGACAGGTGGACACAGGCCGGGGGCGGCCCACCTTCCATCCAAATCTGGCTTGGAGGTGCCACTTTGAGCTGAGGGCTCAATGGGTGATCATCTTTATTTACATTCTGCTTTTATTGAATTTGGTAAAGTAGGGAATGAGGGTAGAGAGTAACGACTAAACGAACCTGACGAAACACACAAGCCGACAAATGGGTCTGGCGCCAGGTAACATGGAATGCCAGGCAGTGATGAAGAACGAAGGGAATGTTTCTCCTTTCAACAGAGGTCAGCTCTTCTTATCAGTTTGATTGTCTGTTTGAGTTGTGCTGCACTTCGACCACACAGGGCCATATTAGCTTTAAATTAGATCATGTTTAGCACAGATTAAATCAACCGAGCCCCTCAACGAGGTGCAGCTGTGTGTCCGGCTCTATTTTGACTGGGGTACTTGAGGAGGCTTTGATGAGGACTGTGGAATACTCTGAATCTTTTCATCTTTGGAATAATGCAAATACAGACCTTTGGTCTATCAGAAAGACTTAGCCAGGGTGTGTGTTGAGAGGTGTTTCAAAGAGTGGGAACTGTTCAAGGTTTGTATTTGTCACGAGTTCTCTCTGTCCCACACACACACACACACACACACACACACACACACACACACACACACACACACACACACACACACACACACCACACACACACACACACACACACACACACACACACACACACACACACACACACACACACACACACACCCACACACACACACACACACACACACACACACACACACACACACACACACACACACAGATTTCAATTGGCTTGTTTCTTCTGAGGTGAAGGTCAAAGCGCAGACTCCCCTTAAACGACTTTAATAGAGGCTGATGAGGACAAATGGAGGACTGGAGATCATTCGGAATACTAATGGAGGCTAGAAATCCTGCTCTCCGTTCATGCATGCTGTGTCTGAATCTTCTATGTTGTCCTCAATCTCAACACAGAGTCAGTTAGGATTTAAATTCCTCTCTTTTACCCTTTCGGCTGTTGCTCTGTAAGTATCCATTAGATACAGTTTGTAAAATTAGATTCAAACATCTGCGCCTGAAAGCTTTGGCAAAGGAAATCATTCTTCCTTAACTACCAGTCAGTGATTTCTGCCGAAGGTAAATAGATTCCGAGAAGAAGGAGGTCGGAAATCTTCTTCGGGCCGTAATTGCCAAGACCTCAATTGCTCTCAGATTCGTCCTTCTCCATGCCAAACTACACCAGAGTTACCGAGGTATGTTAGTTGTGGCAGCGCAGAGACAAAAGAAACAAATTATTTGCGATGACTTTTAGTCCCGAGCTGAAATGTCGGTTGGGTGGTGCAGCGGAAGGAATGATCTGTGTGTGTAGCCGGCAGTCAGAGGAAAGAGACGTTTTGGCCTTGAAGCTGAGGGGCACATGAGATGGTCCCCACATGAAAGACCCTGCCTGCTTATTACTTGAATCACTGCTGGGCAGAGGACTCTGCTTTTGGAGTTTCAAGCTGCATCTTTGTTTATTTGTTTCTTGTTTTGGTTTTGATAGATGGTAATCGGTTTGCTTGCGGCTGTTTGCAGTTCTTCACATCTGACGTGGCGGACGTGAGTTGAAACTGGACTTTGAAACAAATGACAGACCTGGGCACCATCCTTAAGTTGTGTTATTGCAGTGGCACTGATCCTTTTAATGGCCATATCAGGTCATACATAGATTCCACATTAGCTGGGCTCCACTTGTTTGCATTGAGATGCTGGTGTAACTGTGAGCCTCACAACATTTTCTTTGGTGCATTTTTATAGTTTTTTTTTCTATTCACACGATAACTTTTGCAGGTCTGTCTGCCCTGGGAAAAGGATCGCTTCTCTGTTGCTCTGAGATTTATTCCATTCCCCCCCCTTCATTCTGGGGTTTGTTTGGGAGTTTTCCCTGGTTCCGTTTATTGTATGCTGCGAGGGTCTAGGGCGGGAGGGTTTCGTATGCTGTGCACTCTGTAAAGCCCCCTGAGACAGATGTAATTGTAATGTTATGTAAGGTAATTTGTGATTTTGGACTGAATAAATAACATGTCATTGATTGAGCCGAGAACAAATCTAAATCCTAAAGAAGTTTGTTTGTATAAACTCAAAATGAGACTCTGGGACATGAAGCTCTTGATTTGTTTTAACATTGTTCTTCTTTAACTTCTTTCCCCTCTGCATGTTGACCTCTCTGAGTGTCTCTCTTTGTGCTCAGCCTCTCTGTCTCTGTATGCTCTACTGACCTTGCACTTTCCTTGTTCCCTCAGTACCGGCTCACAGGAGCTGGACGGGCAGCGTTGGCCTCTGACTCGAGGGGGGCCGTGATCATTTCCTGTGCGCCCCTCTGCCCCTTCTCCAGCTGACAGTGGCTCTAATCCTCTCGGCTGCACTCTGTCCTGCTTTTCTGTCAAATGAAATGCATTGCAGTTGAATTATGAAGTTAATAAACAACCCCTAGCATGTTACTGAAATGACAGCAGACCAATAATGTCACTATTTGTTCCAGTGTTGACTTCAAAACACGCAGAAGCTGATAAAACAGGTGGTTAATAGAGAGGAGTGAGATAAGATATATGATGTAATGTAAAATAATATACATAATACAAGAAATATAATGTTATACTAGTTTAGTCTGTTGTTACAAGTAGCCCTACTTTAAGAATACAACTTTTTAACTTCCTAAATAAATGTCTTGCAGTAGGCTACAGCAAATTAGGAATTTACATACACAACGTGATGCATTGTCATAGAGTTAGCTACCCAACAGTTATTACAGTTAACTCATTAAACAAAAAATGCTGCTTACAACAAATTAATACAATATAAATACAGAAATATGATTTAGCCTTAAATCCACTGTAATTATGTATTATATTTTACTATTTTACATCAGCACACAGTTTATAACATCGTATTTATCCTAGCTCCAAACAGGAAAATTAAGTTAGATTCTACAGGTGTGTGACTGAGGAAAGCGCACGTGCACGACTTTGTTTATCTTGGCATCTCTCTAATGCGCATCACTTATCCTGTGTTCATCCATGTTTTACTGTTACTGCTAGCTAGAGCATCTGTGAAATAAACTGACAGTAGCTTACAGAGTTTACGGTGTGTTGATTATTGAATGTCAGTTTAATATATGTTTAATTAACTTAATGTAATTTCTGTTACAAATTAATTCTCAAAGGAAAGTAAATGGCCTGCTCACCTACCAGCGCTGCTAGCTATCGTTAGCTTAGACGCATTCAGCAGCTGACCAGCAGAGACAGAGGAAATGAGGAGCCGTGTGCAAAGCCCGGAGGGAGTAATCAGGGTACCTGAGGGAAGGGCCACACATTACATTTGACTGTATTTATTCTGGGGGCATTTGGTAATAGTAGCTCCATTTTATAACGAAAGACTATAACACGCCTGTTGTGCAATATCACTAATACTATACAATATTTACACTATCTATCTATATACATCTTAGTTAGACTGTCCACTGTATCACAATCTTATCTGCAATATATACTATAGCCTACTGTCACTGTTGCTACCCTTATTATACTTGTTCTTTTAAATACTGTTTCTGTACTTTTTGTTGTCCACCTGGATGGGTAGTTTTAATAAATTGTAATTTGTTTAATTTCTATCTCTAATATTTAATGCATGCCTGTTTATTCACATTTTGCCTTTTTACTTTTGCTGTAACAATGTAAATGTTCCCTCTATTCTGATCCTGAAATAAACACAAACGTATGATATTTATATATTCGCTTAGAATTACAGTGCATATTTATACAAACATTAGAAGTTAAAGTAAGCTTGTTTAATAAAAAGACATGTTAAAGTTGAATGTCCAATAAAATAATATAAAATCATGAATATTAACATTAGAAGTTAAAGTAAAAATGTGCATGCTGTATGACACTTCTACTGATACAGTAGGGACCGTAAACATATTGGAGAAATAATTATAAATATATATAGATTCATATATCTATTTATTTAAACATAAACATAAGAAGCTAAAGTAAGAATGTGCAAAAATAGGATAAAATACAATAGAAATGTATACAAACTTAGGATACAAAAGCAATAAAAGATACAATTAAATAGAATACAAATATTTACATAAACACAGGAATTAAGATAAAAAAGGTTCACATTGTACTCATATGCTCACTTGATAAAAACTCAAGGAAAATGTATAATCTTTGTCTTCTGTTCCATTTTCACCCCGTAATATTAAACAAGTAACAAATTGAGGTGTTATTACTGACAGTAATCTGAGCACTCTTGAGGTTTCTTCCCCACATGCTCATGACTTCTGGGAACATACACCTTCAGTAGATGCCATGCGCTACACACATTGCTAGGAGCATGCTTGGACCAAAGTGTGTGTTTCTGTGTGGGAGAGGATGTCAGCCTAGGACAGAGTACTGTAGGCATGTCCACTCATATCAACAACAATTAGGTTTTACATATCTGTTGTGAAATAATCCAAATGTCAAGGAGAGATCAGCGTTCTGTCTGTCCGTACGTCCTGAGCGATCACTCTCACAGACTCTGGAAATCCTATAGAATGCACTCAATTTTACATATTTACCAAATTGTCTATGCAGTTGTAAAGTCCAAAAGCCCTTAAAACAAAGTACAGTGGAAGAAAAACATCCCTCTTTCAATTACAGACTCTATTTTATATCGTGAACATCCTCTGATCTGGTTTGAGATTACAAAATGTTTATCTGATCTCCCGTGTTTGCTGCGTAAAACCTTAATCAAATCATTCTGAGACAATTATGTTTTATCTTTGGAAAACCCATTCTGTGTTCAAACATGCAAATACCTGTTTAACATGTGTGGCGTTTAGGTGTTAACTCCTGTGTTTGGTTACATTTCTTACATTTCCAAAAAATGGAGGGAATGGGGTCAGCTTTATCTGAGATTAGTTTCAGTGATATCCAGTGAATCACCTCTTCATCCTTGTTGGCGCTTTTTGATATTAAAAAGGACATAACAGGACTTTTTTTTCTTTTTCGAGTCCTTATATTTTATATATTTTAAAAAGGAATGTATCAGATTTTTTGTTAGTTTAATTCACAATTTTAAGTAGTTGAATGTCTAACATTTTTAAGTCCTCCTTATTTTTCTTTGATCAATGTAACAAACACACACAATTTTGTCATATTGTGCTTATACTACATTATAAATATTATTTTATGCTATTATTGTTATAATATATGTTCAGCTGGTTGATCGATGGTGGATTAAAGAGTAGACTGATGAATGGACCTGCTGTATGAGTCCCACTGATCAATATCAAACTTTAAATGAGCTTTTGCAGACACACGTCCAGCTATAGTCATTATCAAATCTACTTAAAGGTCCCATGTCATGGCCATTTCTACTGATCATAATTCCATTGTTGAGGTAACAATACGTTACACATTTGTTATTTGTTATTTGTTAATCTGTTCGAAATAAAGACTGAAAGAAAGAGGTATTAAAATAGATTTACATTGTGCAATTTTACCAAACTCACATTGGTTTCTCATACAGCATCTCTGTATAGTATGTGTATTCACTCTCTGTCCTAAACGCCGAGTGTGTTTGTGTGAGGAAGTCCGCAGATTGGTCCAAACGTAACGGCTCCGCGGACGTTACGTCACTATACCCAAAATACGTCACTATACCCAAGAAGTAAACAATGGAAAAAGAGAAATCTCCAACGAGGCGTTCTGGGGCAGCACAGACAGGTCTTCTCTGTGTTAGAGTTTTACTCGCTACAGGGTGTACTTTGAGGGTTTGTGACTCTGCAGACCGTTTACATGCAGAAAAACCTTCATAACACACAAGGGGACGGGTAATAACCGGAAAAGCATGACATGGGACCTTTAAGACAAGTAACAAGGTAAAATGTAAAAGTGTATTACATGTAACATTTGATGAATTTAAGAGTACAGACACAAATAAGCAGGGGTAAGTAAAATGAAGACCTAAATGTGGATATTTAAAATTCCACTGATTTGGAAGAAAAAGATTATCGCAGCAAAATAGCTGAATCTTAGGACTGATAATAATATCAACAAATTATATTAAAAAACTATTTTGATATTTTGCTTTTGCCATCATTTTCAAAAATATATGTGAACCCATCATCTGCAGCTTGATGGTTCCTCAGATATGTCCCTGGTGTTTTTCACATTGGGTTTGGTGATTCATACAGAATAAACAGCTGTTGAAACAAGTCCTCCAAATGTAATGTCGAAACAATCCAATGATGTGAGGCAATATTTGTATCAGAACAATATGACATGCCTAATGTTCGCTGGAGGTGTCAAACTCTGATACAACATCATTCTGCACAGTGAAGTAAGCATTAGAGTGAACCAACAACCAGCACAGCCCATTTCTGAGCTCAGGGGACTTAAAGCGATTTCGGAAAGGTTTCCCAAGCAAATCAGAGACACATGAGTGAGCTTTATTTGAGATGATTATTGAACATTAAAATGGAATATTTAGATTATACAAAACTAAAACAAAGAGGTTTTTTGTTTGTTCAGCCTGAGATTTGCAACAATGGCTTTCTTTGGTTGTTTGCGGGGTCGGTTTCCGCGTTTCCGTTACGGCCTCGTGTGAACGAACGGGCTAAACGAAAGAGAAAAGTTAAACATTAAAATGGAATATGTAGATTATACAAAACTAAAACAAAGAGGCTTTTTTTTTGTTCAGCCTGAGATTTGCAACAATGGCTTTCTTTGGTTGTTTGCGGGGTCCGTTTCCGCGTTTCTGTTACGGCCTCGTGTGAACGAACGGGCTAAACGAAAGAGAAAAGTAGCGGATACAACCGTTTGCGTTCTTGTGTAAACAGCACCTTAATGCGCCTCTGGTTGTGGGATGGGATTTGCTGCCATTTTGCATTCTCAAATTGTGCTTACCCTGAATGGAAACTGGCCTGAATAATGCGAAGTGGATGTTAAAACTCCGCACTGACAAGCGTTCAAAAATATTTATTATTATAACATTATTATAATGTTTGCGAGAAAAAATCAACAATGAAAATGTGCTCATCAACTGCTGTAAACATTATTAGCATTCCCTGATAGCAGCCACAGCTATATACAGAGTCTCAGTCAGGGCTTTGATGATTCTTCTTCTGTCCTAAACATTTATACTTCAATTAAAATCACATTTCATTCCTCACACAAGCTGTTTATGAGTCATTATGCTGTCGAGCAATGCAATCTTTTGCATCTCGACCTCTATTTGTAATGACAGCTAGACAGAAGAGAAGAGAGATGGATCAAATATTTACTCTCTCCATTGATCTCTCCGTGGCCTCTCCTCGCTCACATGCCGAGCTATCCTATAGAGGTAAACAGATTCATCTGAAGAATCATTAACAAATTGGGTTTGGAATGTTTAAGGCAATTTTTTCTTCTGCGTTTCTGTTTTTCTGTCACAAAGAGCCGTCATTCTGAAATTACTTTTCCGTGGAATGACATATATTCTTACAAAGTTTCTTTCACAGCTGATATAAAGCTTTGACATGCAGAGGATCATTACAGGATAGCACGCAGTACTTAGCAGCCGAACAAATATTATCATAACTCACGCTGTCAAATCAAATTCCCCTCGGGTTTACAAAGTGCTTCCAAAATGCGGAAGTGCTTATTAGAAGGTTATGTCTCAAACTGCTGATAGGACCTTGCCTTCTGCTGCTATAAACATACACCGTTGTATCTCTATAGCAACAAAAACAAACACACCATCTCTTTAAAATGATCAGACAGAGATGTCTCTATAATCACATATGGTCTGATGATAGTGTGTGATTACTAACTTTTCTACCTGCGAGGACTTTTTTATACGAAACCTGAGGATGAAATAGCAGCGTTGCTGAGAATGCACATCAGAGACATGTTTACTGCTATTTTAAGATGTGAATCACATGACATCCAGTAAATATTATTCTCTATCACACTGAACATGTAGTCACAATGTATTCTTCCAATTACTTTGTCTAGAATGCTGAATATTTTGTTTTCTCCTTTTGTAGCTACTGTTTTCTAGTCTTTTTTGAATAATAAACTGAATATTGGTATGGGCTGGACTTCAG